GTGTGGGGATCCTGCATTTACTATACAGCCTTTGTTTGGTGAGGGTGAGCTTGCATTAGGAGAAGGAGACCAGAAGGGTGGTGGTGTGCAGGAATGCAGAAGTCGACTGTCATTGTGGCCAAGTCATCTACCCTTCCTGGGTCTCACTTTCCTCACCTGTGGTCTGGTGTGATGAAACACAGCCTGCCATACTGGGGGTTTGGGAAGACCGAATTAAATAACCCAATACCTAACACTTCTTTTACTCAAAAAAGGGCTGAACCAGAAGCTCTGTGTGCTGGGCAAGCTTGATCAGAAATGATCCTATTGTAAGGCCTCTGTATTCAGGAGGTATTATTCTGGTTTCCAGTAACATCATGGAACCCAGATCATCAGTTTCCTTATGTGTAATGTGGGAGTAAAAATTTCAGCCCTGCTTATCTCAGAGGATACTTGGGAGAGTCAGGTATAGTGATGAATACGACCAAACTTGAAGCTTCATGGAAATTCAGGGAATTTTTTTGTCAAAAAGGGCAGCATCTATATTAAGGAAGAAAGGTTGGGGAGCTGCCTCCAGATCTGATAAAAAAAACTGCCTTTTTTTTTTAAACTGGCTATTAATATTTATTTATTTTTTATTTATTTTTAATGAGCATGTAACGTATTGTTTGCCCCAGAGGTACAGGTCTGTGAATCATCAGGCTTACACATTTCACAGCGCTCACCATAGCACATATCCTCCCCAATGTCCATCACCCAGCCACCCTATCCCTACCCCCCCCCCCCCCCCCCCCCCCCCCCCGCCGCAACCCTCAGTTTGTTTCATGTGATTAAGAGTCTCGTTTATGGTTTGTCTCCCTCCTGATCCCATCTTGTTTCATTTTTTCCTCCTCTACCACCCAGGACCCTCCGCCCTGCCTCTCAAATTCCTCATATCAGGGAGATCATATGATAATTGTCTTTCTCTGATTGACTTATTTCGCTTAGCATAATACTCTCTAGTTTCATCCACGTCGTTGCAAATGGCAAGATTTCATTTCTTTTGATGGCTGCAGAGTATTCCATTGTGTGTGTGTGTGTGTGTGTGTGTGTGTGTGTATAAATATATATAACATCTTTTTTTTTTTAAATACTATCTTGTGTCATTGGAATTTTAAGTGCGTCAGTAGAGTTGATTTTTTTGGTTTGTTTTTTAGTTTATTTATTTGACAGAGAGAGAGAGATCACAAGTAGGCAGAGAGCAGGCAGAGAGAGAGAGAGGAAGATGAAGCAGGCTCCCCGCTGAGCAGAGAGCCCAATGCGGGGCTCGATCCCAGGACCCCGAGACTGTGACCGGAGCCGAAGGCAGAGGCCCAACCCCCTGAGCCACCCAGGCGCCCCTATCACATCTTCTTTATCCATTCATCTCTGGATGGACATCTAGGTTCTTTCCATAGTTTGGCTATTGTGAACATTGCTGCTATGAACATTTGGGTCCATGTGTCCCTTCGGATCACTACATTTGTATCTTTAGGGTAAATACCCAGTAGTGCGATTGCTGGGTCATAGGGAAGCTCTATTTTCAACTTTTTGAGGACACTCCATACTGTTTTTCCAGAGTGGCTGCACCAGCTTGCATTCCCACCAACAGTGTAGGGGGGCTTCCTTTTCTCCGCATCCTCGCCAACACCTGTCATTTCCTGGCTAGTTAATTTCAGCCATTCTGACTGGTGTGAGGTGGTATCTTAGTGTGGTTTTGATTTCTATTTTCCTGATGCCGAGTGATGCTGAGCACTTCTTCTGTGTCTAAAACAGCTATATTTTTGTCCACTTAAAAAATCCATGTATCTTCTAATGTTAGAATGTAAACTTCATCTTAGTGTCTAAATCTTTCAGGTCAGGATTCATTTCCCAAAACTCTAGGCTTATTTAAGCTGGTATAAGTTGGGTGTGGGGAGCCCAGGAGTTGCTATCCAGGTCATGCAGCATATATGAAGAGGTTGCTGGATGCTGGGTGCTGCTCTGGGCATAGAGAAGATCCACTCTTTGTGCACATCAGATATCCTCCTAGCTGATCTTGGATTAGGACCAAAGGTTGTTTGGGGACTACTAAGTGCCACATAGGTGTTGTCATTCAGAACTTTGGCTCAGGCACAATAGAAGGAGGGAGGTGCGGAGGAAGAGAGAAGGGGTGTAGCAGTGGATGAGATGCTGTTTTTCTGATGCTTTGTCTTCAGGGATTTCTGGTTGTGGCCAGGAACCCATGAGCCCCGTAGACTCCTAAGGAAAGGGGACAGCAAGTTATTATGCAAAAAGATTATTGGATCTAGAAATAGAAGACCAGGATTTATGTTCCTGTCTTATCACTTACTGATGATGTTATCTTGAGCAAGTCACTTAACCTCTCTGAGCCATTTCCTCATTCATAAAATGGGGGTCGATGGTGGTAATAGCTAAGAGGCATAAGGAAAGGTTTTGTAGACGTAGAGTCCTTGAGAAGTAACAGTGGATCATGGTGTTGTTGCTTCATTATTAAGCCTGTTATGAGCAGGGTTTTTTGTTTTTTTTTCCTCCAGGTAGAAATGAGGCAGGCTTTGAGTTTGTAATTCCCTGGTGAATGCAGAGCTGGGAAGAAAGAAAGAAAAAAAGAAAGAGAGAGAGAGAGGCGGAAGCTGGATGTAAATAAATCCTAACCCGTGAACATGGTGCAAGGATTTCTGGACCAGGTGTTACTGGGGTCCGGTTCTCATCCTTATCTGGATGCCTGTGCCTTAACTCTGCTTTTTGTGACGATCAGGCTGCTGTCTGCCAGATGGAGTCCTGGGATTCCATGGGCTTGCTTCAAACCTGGGAATTTGGAAGCTGGAGTGGTTGGGAGGGATGAAAGGTTGGGGTAGTGGTGGTGGTGCACAATCACAGAGCCAAGGAGCAACCTGGTTTTGATGGCTTGGACTGCTTCACATTTGGCTTATCAGCAGTCAGGCTGCTCTGAACTCAGTGCCAGCTCACCCCAGCCATGGAACTCAGGACACTCTGGCCAGACCCCAGGGCAGAGTAAGAAAAACCTTGTGGGTGAAGAGAGTTTTTTCTTTTTTAACCTTACACTCTTCTCATTAAGCCTACTAATCTCTGGGGTGGCCCCATGCTTAGTTTGGAGATAGGCTAATACTTTAACACTAGCAAAATGAGATGATGTATTGACTCTGACAGTAAAAGCATTTTAACCATCTGTATTAGGGGCTCTAAAAAATGACCATGCCCTTTGATTAAATAATTTTTTCTCTGGGAGCTTAACCCAAGGAAATAATTGGAATTGCAGGAAGAGTCTGTACTAAAAGATGTATAGTGCATCTAAAATATCCAGCATCAGATGAATGGAAATCTTTCTAGAATGTAAGCACGAATGGAGTAAGGACTTCTTGTTCACTCTGTATCTCTGGCACCTAAAACAGCGCCTGGCACACAGATGGCCAATGAACATGTTTTATATGGTTATAGACAAAAAAAATTTACATCCATAGGATAAAACTCTGACTGGTTTCACCTTTCTGGACATAGAGCATTCCTATGAAACATTTTGTAAGACAGAATGATGTAAGGCAAATCAGATTACTATAATTGATATGGAAAAAATTTTGAGCACTCTCAGACTCCCAAAATAACCTCTTAGGCTTTTCTGATATCTTAGGACACGTTTTGTTAATAGATACACAAAATAAATTGAGATAAAACACAGCTGCTCCCAGAAGCCCTTCAAAAAACCCTGGCAACTTGATGCTGAGATGCTGGTGGTGTTCTCTGGTAGGGAGCTTGGGGGCGCCACTCACTGCTTGCCTCCGCGAGGATTCCCTGCAAAACAAACGCTGAATGCTTTTTGCTTTTCAACTTTTTTTTTCTGAAAGCGAAAATTCCTCTTCAGATTTCTTTCAGTTAGTGAAAACAGGTACTAATAGAGGTCTTTCCTAAAAATGAAGTGTCATAACATGAACTTCCAAAAAGGAGAGGGAGGGGGCACACATGGATTCAGCTATTTCAAATAAAGAAGTCTTAAGGACAGCAAATTGTCTATGTGACTAGGATGTGAAAAGGGCAGGAGACAGATTTCTAAATACAGCAAAATCATAATCTTTTAGTAGAGGGAAAAACTAGGGAAGGAGAAGATACTCAGGTATATCTGTATGTAAGAGATGAGATAATGGGTGACATTTTTTCTTTTTATATTTTCTAAAATTTCTAAAAGGACTGATTCTTTGATTGGGAGAAAACACTTTAATATGAATCATATTCTTTGAGGGGGGGAAGAAAATGACTTTAGATTAGTTTATTTATCGAGCAAACCAGCAGCCTTTAGAGCCCTCTCCTCCTTTCTTTCAAAGAACCAGGCAGCCTTTGTGAATACACAAAACACCTACACACTTTGGTTGTGTCTGTTGGCTTGGCATGGAAGCTGATCCCTTCTAACTTCAAAAGGGTGATAGAAACCCCACAGTGTTGAAATTGTGCAGGTCACGTTGCAGAGACATGCCCGTACATTTATATCCCATCATTGAAGCGAAAGCATTTTGTAGTAGGGAGAAGAATTTTAAGAAGATAGATTTTTCTGGGTGGGTGGTTAATTCTTGGAATTCTTTCCCTGGTTCATGGTTTTGGGAAGCTGTTGAAAGTGCTGTCTACTTTCCTTCATTCTTGTTTTAGCTCGTGCCGTCTTAAAGTAACTTGCTTCTGAGCAGTTTGGTCTGTCGGAATAAGGACTTCACGGAATGTCTCTTGAAGATGCAATGTTCTCTTGCAGCCAAGGCTTTACTAGAATTAAAATCCCTGTGTCTTAGGTGGGCTTGGGCACCTGAGCTGAAAGTTTTTGTTTTTCAGTGCAACTGGGTCTTGACATATGAAGTACATCTTTGAAGAAAGACCCACTCTCTCACCCTGGGAGGAATCTGTGCTGATCAGGGGTCCTCAGACATTACTGATCTGTTGTTGTGTCTGCAGGCCTTCCCATTCCTATGACTTCTCATTCATTATCTCTCTTTCTTTCTCTTTAGCCATAACCAACAGACCACAGCATTCAGGCATCCTGTGAGTGGGCAGTTTTCGCCAGAAAATAGCGAATTTATTCTTCAAGAAGAGTAAGTACTTCTATGTATTCTCCTTTTCCAGGCAGAATTTGGGAGCTTAAAGGCATTGGCTCAAAACAGAGCTTGTTGGACTATTTTCTGTCCCAGATAGAGGGACTTAGAGTGGGATGGTCGATTCAAAGTAGAATGCAAGAACTTTGTTTTTCAATCTCCAGACTTCTCTCAGTGGGAAGATGTGGAAGTGTGAGATGACCCAGGTTTAAGCCGTGACTGGTACTATCAGAGCCTCTTGCAAACTCCCTTTCCCCTGAATGACCCCCACCCTCCTCAAGTATCATCTAACACACTAGCTGTGCTCTAAGAGGACCCACTCATCTGGAGTGAAATGGCCTTCAATCACACCAAACTGATCCAGCCTTTCAAGGAAGCCTCAAATAAGAGTCTAAGGCCAGGGCTTCGAAGGAAGGAGGGCTGTGGCACCCATTGTCCCAGAACGCCTGGAGTTCTTTCTGCTTGTTTTTTCCATTGTGGGCACTTTCTTGCTCCTCAGTCTGATTTCAGCAGGTCCCCTGGGGTGCTCAGAGGTAGGTTCCACCACCCAGGGCTTATCTATTTAAAAATGCATCTACAGCCCAAGCAGGGTATGTTCTTCTCCCAAACACGAAGGCAGAGAAAGGTATGCAAGTGGTTCTGCTTCCTCCTGCTCATCTGAGACAGTTCTGTTTGAAGTAAATAGTTCTGTTTGAGAAATGAATAGAGATGTTGGCTTTTTCTCTCCTTCATATTATTTTTCTGTTCAATCATCTAGACCAAATATGATCTGAAAATAAAAGATTTATATTTTTATAGTATTTCTCTCCCTCAGCACTTATACTTTTAAATTTTCTATTATGGAAAATTTCAAACCTATATACAAAAGAAAGATAAAGTAGTAAGTCTAGTGTATTCATCTCTCATCTTTAATAATTTCCAAAATATGCCTGATTTTATTTCATCTGTAGCTTCCCCCTCACCACCCAGATTATTCTGAAGCAAATTCCATACATCATTTTGTTCCTATAGTATTTTCAGTTTAGAATCATTACCTTATAGAACTTTTAAAACTTGAAATCTATAACGATGATACTGATATTCCTTGCCTGTTTACTCTGTGCTGGGGGTTTACATATAACACAACAATCCTGAGAAGTAGACCGTCATCACTGTTTTAGAGATGAAGACACCAAGACTCAAAGAAGTAGGGTCACTTGTTCAAAGTTGCATGGCTGGAAGTAGAGAAAGTCAGGATGGCACCCCCGCTTGATCTCTATAGTCAGGGCTAACCCTTGCTACTAGTGATTGGCTACTTGCTAAATTGTTTGGATTCTCCTGGTCCATGGGTCATGGGGTCTGACTTCGGAAGTATCAGTACTATTAGAAAGTGGATGGGAGGCAAAGATTGTCTTGTCTTCTACATTGAGACAGAACTGCTATGTAAAGACAGAGCCAGAATGTGGATACTCCACATTCCAGCTTGGAACGAGCATATTTAAAGAATTCCTGAAGGTTAGAAGCTCTTGGGAGGTCAGTGAGTTCAGTCCCCTTCCTAAGGCATCCTAGAGAAATGGCTGCCTGTCATTTTTAAAGGTCTGTATGGAGAATCCATTAGAACACATAGTTTGGGAAGTTACCAACTTTAATAAAAGCTTCTAGAGAAATGCAGACTTCTCATCACTGAACACCCTTGTCTTATACACACTTCCTTTTCCTTACTGTTAAGATTTTGTCCTTGGCCACTTCTGAGAAGGTAGCCTCTTTTATCCTCCCAAAATATCTCTGTAGCTAATCTCCATTCCATCCAGTTTCCAAGAAAAACCTTTTTTTCAAGGGTCACTTTTCCCCTCTGGATCACATTTTCTGGATGTCGTAAGGACTGCTTGCTTGTCTCAGGTGGTGGGTGCAGAGTCTGGGTGACCAGACAATCCTTGAAGCAGGGAAAACATGCTTTAGGCATTGAGAGGAAGGGAGGATTTCTGTGGACTGAGCTGGTGATCCCTGGGTTTACTCATTAAATACTTACAAAGTGCCCATATTGCGTCAGGGACTGTGCCAGAGTCTGCCGTTACAACAGCGTGCAAGACAAATGTAGTCCTGTCTGTGAAGAGTAGTAGAGTGGTAGTAGTAGAGTGGTAGTGAAGAGAAGGTGGTAGAGTAGGGGAGATAAACAAGAGGTCACAAATGTGATAAATGTTCTCGGTGGAAAAAACATAGAGTTCGATGGGAGTTGATAAAAGAGGGTTCTAACCTGGCTTAGGGATTGTAGGAGGCCTCTCCATCCTGGGAAGGGATGCTGTTTCAATTGAGACCTGTCCAGTCACAGTGCCCCAACCTGGGCAGTGACCTAGAGGGGAAAGAGCGTAGAGCTATACCAGTTGAGTGAGAATGAAAAAATGAGACATACCAGATGGACGCTGGAGGTAAAACTGGGCTTGGGAGGTAAAATTGACAGGACTTGGTAATTGATTGGCTGTGATGGGGTTGCAAAAGAGGGAAGACTTTCTTGAAGTGTCTGGCCCTAAATTGGAGGAAGGGGGGATTTAGATAAGTAAAGATAAGTGTGCACGTGCATGTGCCAATCATTCACAGCTGAAGGAAGTGTGACCAGCCTTGGTGGGGTCAGAGGGCAAGAAGGGGACTGACTTGTAGCTGAGGTTTGAAGTTTGCAAAGGGGAGGGAGGAGATAAGGTTGGAGAGGGAGTTTCGGCCAGTTATCTAAATTGCTTCCTCCTGAAATACACCCAGAGTTACCCCTGGTGGAGCTCTGGAGGGTGAGTTCAGCATGATTTCACCTGATAGAAACCCAGTTTTTTAAAAATGTGTCAACAAGGGGTGCCTGGGTGGCTCAGTTAAGTGTCTGCCTTTGGCTTGGGTCATGATCTCAGGGTCCTGGGATCGAGTCCCACATGGGGCTCCCTGCTCAGTGGGGAGTCTGCTTCTCCCTCCCACTCTCCCTCTGTGTACTTTCTCTCTCACTCCCTCTGTTTCAAATAAATAAAATCTTAAAAAGAAAAGTGCCAACAAATAAGATTCCTGTTTTGTTCCCTTAGAGGAGCTTAATTTTGTTGTGTGGTGTGTTATGTGGTGAGGGAAAAAGACCAAGATGGCCATTCATGTGTCCTTTACACATCAGCTCTTAGATTAACATCGGGGTGGGTGGAAAACTGGCTCTTTTCTTTTTCTTCTCTAAGGACTATCTGTTGAGGCCACCTGGACTCCTCTTGCCAGAGCCTCCACCTGAGGTTCTTGATGTGAATCCTTCTGTAGGAGTGGTTTTCAGTGTGGTCTCTGAACCAGCATCACTTGGGAACATTTTGGAGCTGCAAATTCTTGAGCCCTACCCCAGATGTACGAATCAGAGACTCAGGAGCTAGCACGCCATAGCCTGTATTTGAATGGCTTCAGGTGGTTCTAATTCAGGTAGACATTTAAAAACCACTGATTTAGACAACTTGCTATTTCCATCCTTACTAAATTACTCCTAGATTCTTCCTTTCATCCTTAAATCTCCTCCAGACACCCATCATTTTCTGGGCTGTGGTAACAATCTTAGATGGATTTTAGTCAAATAATCTTGGGCTCCTTCTTGTGTGTGTGTTTGTGGGGGGGGAACCAAACTGGTCTCCATGGTGGTTTCCTTGAGAGTATTACTTTGTGGACGGATAACTCATCTACCCCACTGCTGGCAGGTGGGGCTTACCTGAGTCCCTTGGTGTAACAGGTGTATGCCCACCCAAAGATGACTTCCCATCTTATAAATTGGAAGCATGGAGAAGAGAAATAATGTGAAAGGTATGATCAGTGGGTCCAGAGGACATGAGCACTGGGTATTTTGGTTTCTGTGCCAGTAATACAGAATCAGCCAGGATAGGCTAGGGTCTGCTGTGGTAAAAATAACAAACAAAATCTAAGTGACATGAAAGAATTAAGGTTTGTTTCTCACTTTAAAAATTTTATTTATTTAATTATTTGAGAGAGAGAGAGAGAGAGAGCACGCAGGGAGGGGCAGGAAGAGGGAGAGAAGCAGACTCTGCTAAGTGTGGAGCCTGATGCGGCACTCAATCTCATTGCCCTGAGATCGTGACTTGAGCTGAAATCGAGAGTCAGATGTTAACCAACTGAGCCAACCAGGCGCCCCTATTTCTTACTTTTGCTCCATGTCCATCATGGGTCACCTAAGGGATTTTATTCTGTCATTTTTATTGAGGGATGCTCCATCTCTGTGACTCCAGGATGGCCAACGTCAAGAAAAAAGGAACTTGAATTGTGAACTGCTCTTTCACTTAAACTTCATTGACTAAAGCAAGTCAGATGACCTCCCCTAACTTCACCGGGCCAGGGAGGTGCATTTCTACCATCCACCTGGGAAGGCTGTCCAAAATATTTGTTGGCCAGCACTATCCTTAATGACTATGCTTAATAATCCACAGTCCAGATTTATTAAAGAAGGTAGGACCTTTTGAGTCCATCACTGACAAGCTTCTCTTGCTGCATGATTAGAGAGTTTGATTTCTCATTTCGCCTTTTCTTTTACATGATCTTGCTCTTTGTCAGAACCGTCAAGGCAAGGTGGGTATCAGTCAACAGGTCCTACAGCCTTGTTCCCCAGGGGATACTTCTGTATACCCAAGCCAACAGGCTGTGAAAATCCCACTTAGAAGAGCTAATATAAATTCAGGCTGCATTAATAAAAGTATAATATGTAGAGAAAGGAGGATAATAGTTCTGGTATATCATGGTGTTTGTGGACTACTTCATTCATTCATTCCAAGTTTATGGAGCATCAAGGATATGCCAAGCCCCACTTTGATCTGGGTACTAAGTTTCAAGAGGGATATTGAGCGACTGAGATTGCCCTGGGAGGGGGACCATTAAGGTGAGGGGTCTGGAAACACTGTCCTTTCACATTCAGTCTGCAGGAGAGAAGATGAAGGAGGATGTGCTGTAAGTCTATAAGAAGGGCTGGCGGGCAGAAGTGGGATATATTTATTGAGTGGCTGCCAAGGCAGACATCA